TTTTTTTTTTTTTCTTGAATCGACTCTGATCCGTGATGCGACGAAATTGTTATATATGTATATTTCTTCGATGAAATTACTTCATTTGTTAAAAACGGTGAATTTTCCATGATTCGCAAAATTACTTTGTAGTATTATATTACAAAATGATATGGAAAGGTGGTCAAAATTCTACAAATAAATTCTTGATTTTATTCGTCGTGTCGCGTAAATGTCAGTAGTCACGGTTTTAATTTCGGACGGCGAACCGCAAGTAGTAAGTATCGATTTTGATCAGACAAGGAACCCATCGACAGGATACAACGACGTTCAAGGATTATTCTTCAATATTTTGATCTTCTTAACGAAATTTAAAATATTTAAGGAAAAAATCTTATAATCTAAGAAGTTCTACGACATTTATCTCCATCCACTTTTCGTTCTCAAATGAAAGATTATGAGATGGACTATGCGAAACTCAAAATTATCTCTGTACGTCCCCCCTCCCCTCCCCCCCAGTTATTCGTTCTGCATTATGTATCGTAGAGTTTAGTGTGCAAACAGATTCTCGTAAAATATCATTTCCACGTGAAAGAAGTCATTTTCGAAAAGTTTGCAGGGAAGAATAAAATTAAATGCAGGAAAAAAAAAATAAATGGAGATTCGAAAAAAATGTTTTAATGTTTGCGATCTTATTATTCAGGAAAAAATCTCGAAGAAAAAATTTTTGGTTAAATCGTGGAAATATCACGAACGATCAAACGATTAATTAATTAATAATATGAAATGTCATAAAATTTTTTTAACGAAATGATATTTTATTCGCTTATATACGTTGATCAGGCTGTCGTCTACGCTACAAATCCGCGTGTAATCCGTGTGTAGGCGCAAACTGTTAACGTTCTAATAAACTTGTGAAACCTGACACGTTGTGTTGTATGAGAACGAAACGAATCATCGGACAGGCTTCGTAGTTAATTACATTATTTTAAACTAATCTACTGAAAGAGTGATCTTCTAGAAAGAATGGTTTCTCATACGGGCCTGTATCGCCTGTAGCATTTCTTTCTTGGGAAACGAATGGATAAAAAGGATTCGTGCGCGTAGAAGGCGCGAGTTTATCAAATTGATTTGAAGCTTCTTTATTGAACGCTTCTCGTGATATATGCATACATTGATACAATATGTTTTTATCGTCATTTTCGACGATATTATAAAAACTTTATCTTCGTATATATTTTGGTTTATTTTATTTTTTTTTTATTTTATTTTTTTCTCTTTCTTTCTCTCTCTTTGTCTCTTTATTTTTCATTGTACAGGAAAATTCTGATATAGCATATACAGGATGTTAAATATATCGCTTATAATGTAACTGAAAAGGAATTGATATTAAGAAATGAACAATTATCTTTTATCGTTTTTCATGCAACGATAAGAATGATAATTTAATAAGGAAATATATTTTGAAGTAAGTTTACAATGTCATTTGAAGGTGACTTTAATTATATTTAAATCACTTAATGACGTTGAAAATTTTTATCGGAAAATATTTTTCCTTCGAATTATTACGTATCCTATAAAAACGTTCTGCATTTTTTTTTCTCATAATATCAATTGTTTAGCAGTTACTTCAAACGACATTTAATAATAGACACCCTGTATATATCGTATATTTCTTGCGTGCACGTATTCAAAGTGATTCATTGACAGAATCGAGTGAATTTTAAAAGGAAATGACAGTGAAAGAGTATGCCTGACCATAGATAATTCCATACTACTTGCATCTATTTCTTTCTCCTTTCGTTACATTTTTTTTTTTTTTTTCAGCAAACTTTGACATGAAATTCCACTCTCAATTCGCATCTATTATTTAAGAAATGTAATCCTTCTAACAAAATTAAAAATTAGATGAAAACTTTCTAAAAATTTTTATTCAGATTTGATAAATTAAAACTTTCTATTTTGATAATTATATTTTTGCAATATATTTTTTATTAATTATATTTTTTCAATATATTTTCGTTCGTGACTAAGTCAATGAATCATCAAGTCAAGCCACATAAAATATCATCGTTTCGATCACACAGAATCAATCGTATCGATTTCTAGAAATTAATCGTTACGCTTTCTCGAGCGTATGATAATTCATTATTTTCGAATGCGATTCGATTTTCATCGTGAAAAACGCGATACAGACAAACGTCGTCGCATCCACGCGACACAGTGTTTTCAAAGAAAGGGTGCTTAACGATAAATGGGAAGAAAAATCGTGAAAATCGGTCGCGGAACGAAGAAAATCCGAAAGGCACGTTGACTGACAAGGGGAAGAAAGCGCAGGAAGAAGAGAAAATGCTTTCGAGGACGAGATGGGACCTGAGGAGACGGTTAATCCTCTTGCGCGAGGATTAAGCTCCGCGACGTTTCTCTTTTCTCATTCAACTTTCCGTCTTTTAGAATTGAAAAATCCAAAAAAAAAGAAAAAGAGACCCATGAAAATCTCGATAAATTTAGAGTATGATTTAAACCATTTTTTTCTTTTTGCAAAAAAAAAAGAAATGAAAAAGGAAAATTCAACGGAAAAAATATTGAAAAAACTATTTTTCTTATTGAAATAGAAATAAAAATCATCGACAACAAATCGGAAATAATCCCCGCGGACCTTAATCTTCCGCGAAATCACGCTTGAGACACGCAAGAAAAGAAATCCTGCTACGATAAACGATCCATATAATTGCCAAAAGAATAATTTCAAAAAAAAAAAAAAAAAGAAAGGAAATAAGAAAAGCACGTACGAGTTTAAGAAAAAAAAAAGGGTATCTATATATAAATATATGTATGTATATATTATATATATATTGCTTGTAGAAATAAGAATCGTGTGTCCTATCAAGACCTGCAGCCAGCTCTCGACGAACTCCCAGTGTTCAGGTAACGGAAGAACCTATCTCACTCTCACTCAAAACTCTCTCTCTCTCTTTCTTTCTTTCTCTTTTTTTCTATCTACATCTATATCTATATCTATATCTCTTTTTCTCTCTATCGAGGTAATCACCGATGTAGCTGTACGAGAGGAGAGAATCATGTTGCAACGCTTTCCGTATAGAATGGGACGCGTGAAAATAAATTTTTCATTTTCATGCCATATGAATTTTGCGCAAATATATATTATACATATTTGTTATTTCGCTCACTGTGGTGCGCAGTAAAATAGTTACGGCACTGTGCTGTTACGCTGACGGTGGTGGTCGCCGGATTAAACACGTAAATTCGTTCGTTTTTTTTCGTCGTATGATTTCGAAGATTAATCAATATGAAAGACCGATTATTGGTAATTTTATTTATCAATTTTTTCCAACACTATTCAAGGAATTAAAAGTTGAACGATATTTTTCTTTTTTCTTTTTTTTCTGTTTTTTTTATAATTGAAATCGAAATAGTTCGAATATTTTCGCGCCTTACATTCGAAGGTTATGATTGTATTTTATAGGCGGATGAAAAAAGATAGGAATGTATCACGTAATATTAATATCTAAAGGATTGATTTTTGTACAAATAAAAAATGTAATACGAAAGAAGAGAAAAGAATGAGGTACTTACCAAGGAATTATTCTTCAAGGATCCAAGAAGCAGTCATGAACAACGAGAGAACAACGACATCTTCTTCTCCTCGATTTCGTATTCGTCGAACACATTTTTTCTCGTCGTCCGAGCGACAATAAATAATTAGAATTTTAAGCAAAATCACTAAATCCTCGTCGTTGTCGCGTCAAACGATTCGAAAACGGTCTAAATCACAATTTAATCTCGAAATAACTGATTCAAACGACGTGTGCAACGACGAAACAGTTCGATACACTTCCACTTGACTAGATGGCACCGGTGTCGTAATTTTTAGTCAAGTCATAAGGACTTCGTTCTCTCGTTACAGTAAAGGATATTTTTTCCATAAATCGATACTTGTCAAGTGGGAAAAGAAAATTTATAAAGAATGAAAAAAATCGATTCTCGAATAGTCTTTTTTCATCTATTGAAGTAATTTATGTTCAATTAATTGCAATTATTTTTCTTTAAATTATAAATAGTAACGTAAAATAATAAAGATATGTAAAGATGATGAAAATGTAATGATATTTTTTAGGTTATGTATCTATTCAAGACCATTTGAGAATCGCGTGTCATTGGAGTCTGATAGAATGGTAGTAGAATTTTTTGATTAGAGAAAAAGGTAGAGATTGTTGAATGTGATGTGCGAAGGTAATGTCACTTTTTGATTTTTGAGACGACTCCAATGGGTGATACATTGATGTATGATATATACGTATTTTAATTAATAAGAGAGTCTTTGGCGTAGGACGTAGAAGTTGATAAAGATTCGTGCATGTGATTGTTGTGCCGTACGATGTGTCGGTATGAGTCCTGATCGTTTTATTTATTTTTTTCGTTGATCGATCGGGCATGCCGATCGTCCTGTTTTCATTGATCAATAATCTATTGACAATTCCAGCACGCCGTCAGGAGATCATCAAGATGACTGAACAACTCATAGAAAGCATCAACACCGGAGATTTCGAGGCGTACACGTAAGTGGTAATAAATTTCAAAAGGAAGAAAAAACAAAGATTTTTGCTGAAGTTTCAGTAAAAAGAATTATCAGGATACCAAAATTTCAATGAAAAAATTTATAAAGGAGCCGAAATATACAGGGTAATATAGTAAAAGCAGGAATATAATGCAAACAGAGAATACCATGAATATAAAAAATAATGTAAATCGTAATTCAAAGAGAAAAAATCGTAATATTGTAATCAATTATTTTTTCAATTAAAAATAATTTAGGTTAATCGAGTAACAATGCAATCCTGTTTTCACTGCGTTTCAGTGAAATTAAAGTAAAATAATTCAGATGATTTTAACATCTTTTACGCTTCCAGGAAAATCTGTGATCCACATCTGACTGCATTCGAGCCAGAGGCTCTAGGTAATTTAGTCGAGGGAATGGATTTCCACAAATTTTACTTTGATAATGGTAATTATGACTCATTTGCATCACTGTTAATCGTATCGCGCTGACAAACGCACAATTGTATTTACGTTTGATTTGTTCCAATCTATTGCTGCATGATGTATTATGTCCGAGAATCGAATATTTACATTTTTATTCGTGTGGATGGGACATAAGCCAGGCGTTAAAACGTTTTTATCCAGGAGTTAAAATTTCCGATCGATCGGTGCATTTGTCGTCGAACTTAATTCCATACTGCTTCTTATTGCACTTTTCATTAATATAAATATTGAATGCACAAAATTTCTTTTTTTATCACAATAAAATTTTTATTCAAAGAATGAATGAATGTTCATTAAAATTTAATATATTTATTTTGTTCGTTCAGTATAATAATATTTAATCTATTAGAATAATTTATTGAATTTGTTCATATAATCTTTTATTAATCTTATGTGCTTTGAAATAATATAAATGATCAACAAATGAACATACAGATTCACAAATAACGAGCGTTTTGCTTTTCCAATCTAAGCAGTCTTGGGGAAAAACTGCAAAGCCGTGAACACGACGATCCTGAATCCCCATGTACACCTGCTTGGCGAAGATGCCGCGTGCATCGCGTACGTTAGGCTGACACAGTACATGGACAAGTGAGTAAAAGAAATTAAAAGACATCATTAAAGATTTATAGTATGTCAAATACATCCTATTAATCTTTTGCGATTCATAATTATTTAATATAAATAAATATGAAGATAAAATAAGATAAAGTAATGATCTAGACATAGATTAAATCTATTAGAATAAGATCTTCTATAAGCAATCACACTGGATATAAGTTTACAAAGGATTGGATCTTACTTAGTCAAAAAAATTACTTTGCAAATCTCGTACAAATCCGGAAAACTTCCATAAATTTGAAAAAATACGATTGCATATTTTTCCAGACAAGGAGTAGCGCACACCCACCAGAGCGAGGAGAGCCGCGTATGGCACAAGAGGGACAACAAATGGCAAAATGTGCATTTCCATCGTAGCGCGGTCACAGGCCCGTCGCCGTTCACCTATAATCACAAGTAAATCGATGCGACGGTTCAAAAAAAAAAAAAAAATAATAAAGGGGAGGAAGTAGAAGAAAAGGGCCGATGTGTCGGTGGACGCTCGTCGCCTTCGACGCGTGGAATGGACGAACGAAACCGTGCAAGAAACCGCGCGAGCACACGTTACACCTGAGTCCTAACACACGATCGGGATAAATAGATAAATACATAATACGATCGTCTATCTATTTATTTATTTATTTATCGATATACATGTACACACATACACACACCAACACACGTAGGACACGCGTATAAATTAGTATTAAGCGCGACAAAATGGAAAGGAGCGAGAATAGTCGCGAAAGTGATCGGATAAATCGGTATTTTTGAGCTCGATTCAGTACCTGTTCAGCGTACTTACCATGAAGCACCGCGACTTATGCCTCGATGGAAGAACTATTTCCGGATGTATTCGAGATAGCAGTTCTCGATGAAGAGGATATCGAAGAAAGAAGAAATTTGGCGGCTAAACAATTCGGAAAACTGTACTTTATATATATATATATATATAACGAAAATCTTTAATCGGTGAAGAAAATTGTGTTCGAGATTTGTCTGAAAGTTTCTTAAGTGTCAATCAAGGAATAAATAATATTATCGAAATACGTTATACTAGAACATTAAAATGAATATCATACAAGAGAAGGGAAAAATAGAAACGGATCAACGCCAAAATCGAAGAATTTCCAATGTCTCGATTTTCACATCTTCATTCCGTCTCCATCTCTAAAACTCGAGGAACAATCTTGCCAATTTTCTAAACGATCACGAAAGAGAAGCAACAAAAGTATATTATAAAAAAAATAATTGGAACGAAAGATGAAAATACGAGATGAGATAGAATCACAAAAGATCGTATGAAAGAAGAGAATCAAAATGGTGGAAAACGAAGCAGAAGAGTGTGTGTTCCAGTGGCGTCGAGGAGGTCAGCGGTGAACGTGAAACGGGAAGTACGCGTATATCCAGGAAATTGGAGGTATGCACGGATGGGGAAAGAATGGAATGGTGGTGAATGTTACACACCGCATGCGAGAAAATGAAGCCGCGATCGACGAGGGAGATGACGCCGGCACGTCGGCAACCACGCGTATTTAGTTCGTATGATAGTCGCTGTACAGAACAATCTTCCATTGTAATTTTTTTCTTCTAATTTTCGTTCTCGTCTCTCGCTACGACGACACACCGGAAAAAAAAGAAAAAGGAAAAAAGAAAAAAGGGAAATCCATTGTAGATTCGCGCGCGCGCTCTGTCTCTTGTAAAACAAGTATGAATACATAAACACACACGCGCGTACGAGAATTTGTCCAAGTGTACCTGCTGTATCGTTGCATAGTTCGTTGTTCGAATGTTTCGTGGCATTCTAATTTAATATTCACGAGAAATACAATATTAATATATCGAATTATAACGTTGTTTAAAAAATGGTTTCACGAATCCGTAACACTCTTGTTTATGTAATTAAATGAAAGCGTTTATATGTTATACTATGATCATAAACGATACCGTACGTACGCTTACAAGCGTCTAGAATATGCTCGAAGCGAGCAAGCTCGGATCTATAGGCTTTCCATCAAAAAAAGAAAAAAAAAAAAAAAAAAAAGCTTCTCGCTCGAGATTAATATCGGTGCATACGCTCGCGTTGTACACACATACAAACATACACGTATAGAGATTACGCGCGACAAGTCCAAGAGGGAGAGAAGAGCGATCTTTAAACATTGTTACCTCATCGTCGTAAGGAAGAAATATCGCGACTGGCGCGATGCGTGAATCGGCGCAGCGACTCACGATCCGCCAACCTCGCGTACGTTTCGTTTTACAAATCGATCTCGAATCCTCGAGCTACGTCGAACGTGAGACCAAGAGAAAAAGAACGACACGAAGAGAAAAATAGAGCGTAGAAATGGATAAAACAAAGGAGATGAAATTTCGAATCGAGTAAAAAAAAAATGCAAAGGATCGTGGAAAGAAGATCGTGGAGAGGAGAATGAATGAAAAGAGGGAATAAAAGAGTGAGATTCGTTCGCGTAGCTCGGTGTACATTGGATCGCCGTGTACGAAAGGATCGATCCACACTTCCGGCGTTCGTCGATGGAGAAGAAGAAAACGAACGAATAAAAGAAAGGAGACGGTACGAAGGAGGAGAATAAAGAAACGAAAGTAGCCGCGCAGAGTGAAGTAGATATTAACATATTATATCTCGACGTTGTTAGAAACACAAGGAACTTAGGTGATCGAACGATTTTTTCGTCGGGTTCACTTTCGTTCGAGAGACAAAGAAGGGAATAACGATAGGAAGAGAGCAAAAAAAAAAAAATGGGGCAGGGACGAGAAGAGGACGGAGGAGGAGAGAAAGAAGGAAGGGTAGAAAAGAAACAAAAAAAAAAGATAACACACGAAAAAAAAAATCTTTCTTACACCGTTCGTACATCCTCTATTAATTAATTAATTAATTAATTATTAAATACGACTTTACGAGAGTATAAATCGATTATATATATTATATATAAATATAAATGAACAAGATTATCTAGGAAAGAATATGAGAAGATTGAGATACACGAAGAAAAATGGGGGAGGGGGTGAACGTGACAGGGGCGGAAGAGGGAACGGTGAAGAAAGAGAGATGTTCTCCATTCGCGAGAAAATAAAAAGAAAAGAAAAAAAAATATCGGAGGAACATTTTTGCCATCTTGTTATATAATATATGTGTATATATATACATATACTATACACATATATATATATATAAATATACATATATATTATAACATGTGAATGCGCGCGTATGCGTGCGGAATAAATGGTACGCGCGTTTCTCTCGCGTTGGAAAACGGAACCGTGTGTTGCCACCAATAATATAGAGAGAAAAATCGGTCGTTGGATCGTGGTTCTTCGACATCATTAAGTTGTTAATCTTTGTTAATCTTTGTTAATTCTTTGTTAACTCCATAGTTTTTATTTATTCGCCGTTCATTATACTCGGTTCAGCGTCGATTTAGAGATCGGTGAGATATCTAGGAAATTTTTAATTAAACGAGTATATAAAGTCCGATATTAATATATATATACATATATATATATTTTGACTTGTTCTTCCTTTCATCGAGTTGTTTCAATAAAATAAAATCGTTTATCGCTGTTCACCGATTGAATTCTACGTATATATGTATATATATTATATTAATTGAAACTCGATCGAGCGTTGAATCGACGCGGAATCGGTTTCTCGCCATTGAAACACGCTCGAGAACGCGTGTCCACGTACGTGCGCGCGCGCTCGTTCCGCACTATCGCGTACATATATATATATATATATATCTCGATACAGGATACCAGAACGAGAGAAGTGAGGGATGAAGGAGGAAACGGATGAAAAGACGATTAAAAGATGGAGAGAGAAAGAGAGAGAGAGCGAGAGATCGAGCGAGAGAGAGAGAGAGAGAGAGAGAGAGAGAGAGAGAGAGAGAGAGACAAACGATTTAATATATTGCAAATACTATATTATAAATATAAATATAAACATAAAATTAAAACTTAAGGAATAGTGTTATTTCTACTACTCTAATTCGTCGCTTCTATACGTGTGATTGTTGTATAAAAAAAAGAACAAAAAATACGATTATTGATTTATTATCATTGTTATTACACGATTATCATTACACGTTACGATTAATACTATTACTATAATTATTATTAATTATTGCCGAGCGAAAGCAGTATATTAAGGCGAAAGAATGGGAGAATGTGGGAAAATTGTTGTTGAAAGAAAAGGAGAGGAATATAAGTTGGGCGAAGATTAAAAAAAAGGAAAGTAATAGAAATGAAGAAGAAGGAGGAGAGGAGAGAGAGAGAGAGATACGATGGAGTGTAAGAGGAAAGAAAGAGGAGGAATAGTTTACGCGACCCGATTTTTTTCCTACGATAAAAGGTATTCTTAATTGACGTACGAATGGATATCCCTAGAGGGCAGAGATCATAGAGAAGAGCAAGCTTTCCGTGGAATCAAATGGAAAATGGAGAGGTAGCAACATCCATTTAACAATGAAAGGGAAAAAGAAAAACGAGAGAGAAGAGGAAGAATGAAGAAATAAGTAATAACGCGTAGAGATTTATAAATGTATCTTTATAAATGCGTGTTTACAAGGTCGGTGATCGTGAGAACGAAGGAAAGATAGATAAAAAGTAAAGACAAGATACGAGTATTATCAATTTTAGATAATCTTATATCGATTGATCGAGAAAAGTTGAAGGATATTGATGGATGTCTTGAGGAAGGCACACGCTCATTCGCGCGCGTTATTTAAAAAGTTGTTTCTTATTGAAAGAAAAAAAAAGAAAACCCAGAAAATAATAAAATTAAATCTCCGAACGAGGAAAGAAAACGAATTGAATTGGAGAAAAGTATAATAAAAGGAAACACGATTTCATAACGCGGAGGGACGTGTCTCGCATCAGATTTTGCTGAAAGTCCTTCTTTCCAAAGAGAATAATAATAATAATTAAATCATTTGAGTTTTTAGATAATAGTAATAATTAAACAATCATTTCTTCATTGATATGAATCTCTTATAGATTATATATGAATTTAATACATAGGATCGTCTCTATGATCTACGAGAGTTTTCTCTCGCAAATTCTTCTCTCGTTAATTCTACTTGCTGTCGTGTATTTCAACAGTTTATCAAACTTCTTCAAACTCTTACCCTTTATCGATTAGAAATTTATGATTAATTAACCCTTGGAGCTTTCTTCCTTGTATCTTCTTTTAATATCTTCTTTCTTTAACGCGCAATCAGAAAGTTTCTAACTCTTCAGAAAGAGAGAGAATCTTTTGAAATTTCATCGAAGTTTCCTCTGTAATCTCTTCAGATCTCTTTTCTATTTACAATTGAAACAGTTAAAATCAATTAATTACCATTTTTCCTGGTATCTTTTCGTTTCTTTTCGACAAGAAAATTCTCTTTCGTAATTAATGGAGCCACAAAATCTGAATCCAAGCTGCATCTTCGATCGTCCATCTCTTGTTGACAAATCATCCTTATCGCGATTCGAAAGTCGACATAATCCGAAACCTCTCGTCGTTTTCTCGCCTTCCACTTCATTGCGGAACATCGATCAAAATCGAGTCAAAATCGAATCAAAATCGAGTCAAAATCGAGTCAAAATCGTCTCGATAAAACAGTTTCCTCGAATCACGAACTCAGTGGTTAAAGTTCAATTAGAATTCGCATAATCGACCATTTCCACGCGTGACATTCCCCTCGAACAAGCTACTTTCAGCAAGATCTGCTTTGTTCAAGTAGCGAAACGCGCGCAATTGTTCGGATAATTTGCAGGGATCGTTCGAGATGTTCGATTTTAAAAAGAATGGAAAGTTCGAAGAATTTAAGAGGGGAAAAAAATCGTAAAGGGGAAATTGGGGAGGAAGAGAAGGAAGAGCGAGAGAGAGAGAGAGAGAGGAGGAAGTTTTATCAACGATAATGTTTTTCGTCGCTAACTTTTTTCTTCGATATATCCAAGCGATTTTAAACGAATTATAGATAGAGGTGAAGAATGTTCGTCCGATGGTATCCTTTCAATTTTATAATATCCGTTCGATTTTATTATCATGCATGATAAACGTAACGATCATCCAAGTTGGACAAGCTTTTTTACTTTCCTCTCTGTAATACTCTGATCTTCGAGATCTTTTTTGCTGCTTTCTGACTTTAAAACTCTCGTCGTTACACATTTGCGCATTTCTCGTATCGAACGCTGATTCGAACAGTGTTTTAGTCGAATCCTCCTATTGTTGCGTTGATCGAAAGGGATTAAGGGTGGAATTCTCCCTCTCTTGCTTCCCTCTTGTCTTCTTCTTTAACGTAGCAATCGTTGAAGGAACGACGGGGATAAGCGAGAGAGAGAGAAAGAGAGAGTGTGTGTTGCTTTCTTGACTGGCAATTCTTTTTCAATTTCAATTATTATCGTTAAGGAAAAGAGATATATTATCAAATAACGAACATAATAGGGATGTTTAAATTTGAAAAAAATTTTATATAAATTTTTTGAATTTAAAGAAGAATTTAAAGATTGAAAAATTTGCAAAGATTTAAAGATTTTGAAATTATAAAAATTATATATAACACTCAAAAAAAATTCGATTCGATTGAATTAAATCTTTCGTTGAGAGATTGGCCAGTCGCATGCCTTTTCGCGCATGAATTAAGAAGAGGAAGAATCGACCGTGATGAAGCGGGTTGAAGTGTTGAAAAAAAAAAAAAAAAAAAGAAGAGAAAGAGTTTAAAAAAAGAAAAAAAAAAAAAAAGAAAAACGGTCAAGAACCGTGACAACCGAATTACCGAGATTCAATCAACATCTTAGCGGTTAATCGCCGTAGAATGTAATTAAACTAGTGTTTTAAGAATGAAAAAAAAAAAGAAAAAAAAATCTATCATCTTCTACCGTGAGAGAACCGCGACACAGCGACATCATCGTCTCGCTGTAGCTCACACGCGCGCACACACACACTGACCGATTGCTGCGTATGCACGATTTTATTACAGCGATTTTTCTGCGCCACGTTTTTAGAAGAGTACACACCAGCGAAAAAACTCGAGAGTTTTTTAGGAATGCGGACTGAAACGAGAGCCATAAACCCGTGAGACGTGAAAAAGAAAAAAAAAAGAAAAAAGAATTATTTAAAAAAAATAACCCAAGTTCCTCCCGAGCGTTTCTTCTTCCGGGATGCTCGACGAATCTGCGTGATCTGAAGTGGTCGGTATCACGAAATCTCGAAGAGATGCGATTGAAAAATATAGTTCGGTGTGTTTTTTTTCTTTTTCAGAATTTTGATCTTTTCTTTTTTTTTATGATTAATTAGGAGAGAAGTTATTAAGAGTTCTGTCTTCAAAAGGTTAAATCTGTCCATCTTTTTTAATTAGATTTCTTATTTTTCCATTTATTCTTCTTTTCTTCTTGGGGACAACATTGATATAATATTCCTCGTTCGAATATTTAGTATATACTATTTATGTTAAAAACAAGAATTGTAATTAAATTAGTAAAGAAATATATATTACAATTAGAAAGTAACCGGAAGTAGATAGATTTTGCTTAGTTGTAAAGGATATTAAGCATTGGTACTAAGTATTAACATTTGTTAATTTCGTCGAAGTTAAAGGAAACATTAATATCGGAAGTATCAGTGCATAGCTAATTCTATTACAATCGATTAAATTATCTTATTACTTCCTTTAGCACTTTTCATTACTAATATCTCCCACTCTGCCATTTGTAAACAACAAATTTTTTAAATCCATTTTAATAATCAATTTAACAAACTTAATCCAACGAAATTATATAATAATTTTCCCGAGCTATATTTATACAATCGTCAATCTCCCGATGCAAATTTTTCACGTAAAAAAAAAAAAAAATAAAAAAAATAAAAAAAAATAAATCGGAAGATCACAGGTGATTGTATCCTTTTTCGATTATTTCGATAAGAAAAGCAAAAAAAAAAAAAAAGAAAGTAAGAGCCGGAACCAAGGTTCCTAAATCGAATCTCCGACGCAAATACTCTCGAGTGTAAAACTCTCGAGACTCGCCCTCGAGAGAGTTTCATTCTTCTCAAAATGGACAATTGCGTTGCCAGATTGATTGTTCTTTGAGACGCTCAACGCAATTGTCTCATTGGCGAGAAATAAATTTCGAGAGCGATTCCCAAGAAGTTTCACTCGCGAAACGTATTTCCATCCTATATAATACCGATCAAATATGGCGGCTGCGAGGAGAGAGCAACGTAAAAAAGACACGGTCTTCGGCTATTTTGACCTCTCCTTTCGTCTCTAACGCTACTTCGAGAGTCCGCGTTTCGAAAGATTTTTTATCGTTCCGTAACTTTTTGCGATCCTACCTACTACTACGTACGCAATATAGAATTATTAATTAATGTAACTTTTTAGCGTGTGCGTGCGTCTATTTGTGCATGCGTGCGCGTGATACCATATATAAAATAATCTAATTGAGGTACAGCTCGGTTGATTTTGCACGACATTTCGGATCCGGCCGATCGGATCGTTTGCGATCGTTTGCCTATCTTTTTCGGCCATTTTCGACGCGTACGTTATCTCGAATTAAAGAGAAAAAAAATAATAATAATGAAAAAAAAAAAGGGAAAAGAGTCTCGAAATTCTCGACTCGATCCAAGCGTTGTTTCATGCGTCGATATACTTACATATCTTCTTACATTGGAAAATCGAGAGTAAAAGCATAGATGGAATGAAATACGTGAAACGTTTAATCGATGAAAACTCGCCAAAAAAAAAATATATATATATATATATAAATACATATATATTTAATCGCACACGCGACAGTGCGATTTTTTAATCCTTGCTTTTTATCCTCGAATCGTGCGCGTCGAATGGCCGAATTATATATTTGAAGGCAATTCAAAAAAAAAAAAAAAAAGAGAAATAAAAATAGTAAACGATGAATTAAACCCTTTCGAGCTTAATAAAGAAACCAGGAAATAAAAATGTAATAAGGAAAAAATACACAGGATGAGAAGCAAGTGAAATAAAAAGAAAAGAAAAAAATGAGTATAAAGAAGAAATGCATACACATGGATACACAAATACATGAGAAAGAGAGAAAAAAAAAATGCAAAACGAGTTCGAAGAGTGAACCGATTTGATTTTTCGCGATGGAGGACGGTGCGTTGAAGAAAAAAAAAAAAAAAAAAAATAGAAAAAAAAGTTATTAAATAATAAAGAAGAGATACGAATTCTTTAGCGGACGTGCGATCCAACTGTGCCTCGAATAAAATCTTGAGCGACGTCCCCTCCGACTAAACGAAAAAATGAAAAAATCACAAAAAAGATGAAAAAAAAAAAAAAGATTATGATATGTAATAGATTGTAAACGTTCACTACTATTCTTATTGATATTATTGTCATTATTATTACTGTCATCATTATTATATTGTCATTGTTATTGTTACTATGATTACCGTCACGCGCATTTTAGAGGAATTATTCACGTGCAATCTGCGATGGCGAATTCCGCGCGACATTCGTGTTTTTACTTCTTGAGCGTTGCGATGGAGAGAGAAGATAGTAGAAAAAAAGAAGTGAAAGAAAGAGAGAACAATATGGGATGAAACGGTGGTAAATTCACGGACAACGGACAGAGAAAATTTTCGTTTTAATTCCGAGGGATATTTTCCAATGTTCGAAAGGAGATTCTCGAAGTGGAGAAAGTGGCGAATTTTGGAAAAAGAAAATTTCGAAAATTCTACGATTCTCGAGATTCTCTTCCGCGTACGAAAAATCGGGAAATCAATTCATCAATCGGATCATCGATCTTCTCGGTGTACGCTATTTTTCTTCACTTAAATTAAGAATATTGTAACATTCGATTCTAGTTTTTATCAAAGTATATTCCATACGTAAATTATAGAAAAATTTTGAAACTTTTTAACGCTAAATCCCCGCGCCATTTAACTCCTCGTTTAAGATTAACAATTTACGATTTACTTCGAGATATCGAGTTTAGCTTATAATAGAATAAAAAAGAAAAAAAAAATCTAATTATAGCGAGGTAATCTAATCTCTTACTTCTACGCTCTAATAACGTTACGAGGCTTAAAGTTAAAAAAATTGCGCGATGATCGATGATCGAGATAATGGATTTCACGCGAGAATTTCGTGAATCACGTTTTCTGTTTGTAATCTTTGTCCGATGTTACGTGAGCGACGAGTCGGTGTCCCAAAAGGGAAGAGCGTTTCTACGAAGCTCAACTTCCGGTTGTTCTTGGCTCTGATCTTCGTAGGAGAAACGCCGATCAATATCGCCCTGTTGGAGAAACGCCAATTGTAATAGGAAAGGAAAGAACGAAAATAAAAGTGAGAATGAATGAGAGTATACGATAGAGCGAGTGTGAGAGTGAGAGAATGGTATGAGAGCGTAAATTAGAGAGCAAGAGCGAGAGAGAGAGAGAGAGAGAGAGATTAGAAAATGTGTGATTATTAAAAAAAAATCTCTCATCGGTACATTTAATATAACGCTAATTCATTATTACAGACATTATTGGATTTACGGTAAACGGATAAGCGATTGATTACAATTTTGTCCTAATGTTCAGAGAAATAAAACAAGGAAATACACATCCGTTCCCGTTCTACACTTCCGGTTCTGCATAATATCATATTCTTCCTCTTCTGTCGCTCGTTTTGAAGTTTAGATTTTATTTAATTTTTTTTTTTTTTTGTTACAATATATTTTATACAAAACTATCAACTTTTTTTAATATTTATTATTATTATTGTTTATTATTAATATTATTTGCCAATGAAAGAACGTTTCAAATATATGTTCCTATTATATTGAATTATATAAAAGGTATAATAATTTTTCTTGGCACATTTTGTTTACTACGTTTAAATATATATTGTTATTTGTATCTGTCGTTATTGTATACTATTTTTACTAATTATCTATCATGTTCTCATTGATTATATATTAGCTAAGTATATTCTATCATACTTGCGTTAATAGAAACGCACCAATAGTTATTATGGTTCACTGAATATAAGATATAAACTCTCTTGCAAATATTTAAAGACATACGTATAAATTTAAGCGAGTGTTAGCCAAATAATATTTGGAACGAGCGACAGATAAGATAGATAATCATTGCGTTTTATATTCCTTTCTTTTTCCATTCGACGTTTATTTCGTTCCTCGTTCCTCTTCCTTCTTCTTTGTTTGTCAATCACACTCGAAGAGAATCCAGCAAACTCTGGTTTTAGTCAGCTGTAAAATATTTTTCAATGTTATTCCTATAACAAGAATATTTATTAAATGAAGGGCTCAAATGAAAAATGATACAGTTGATAAAAATCTTTAATTCGAGAAAGATTTAATCATTAGAATTTAAATCTATAAGAATTTACCAAAATTTATATGTTTCCACCGACATTAAAATAGATCTTACTATGTTTATTCATAAAAAATTTGGTAATGCATAAATATAGATAATTAAATAATGAAAATTTAAAACTAAATAAATGTAGATCTAATATGTCATTTACTATCTTTACCACTATTTCAGTATCACTTGTATCATTTTTCTATTGAGCTTCTCAAATATTGTATTTTACATAATTACCTATAGTTATTAATAATTATTAATTATATCATTATTAATTATATTCTCTTCGTCTGCTGGGATCTCGTTTCGCGTTCGACAGTCTGATACATATTTCACATATCGACGAATATAATTTTTCTTTTTTCTTAAAAAAAAAAAAAAAACCATTGATTAGTTCGTTATCATAATTTGTAACGCGATCTATCTCATACGCTTCGCTCTCTTCGATATTAGGATTCGTTACCTATGTTAATTACGGTTATCTCAACCGATTATGTACGCCGTCATAGTTATTATTTTATTATTAATATTATTTTAATGATCATTATAATTACGGTTAATTTTATTACAAAAGCAGCGTTCATATTTTGTTATTAAATTAGACTTTGTTGTTGAACGAATTTCGCATTTCATTTTATTATTTCCGCTTATGTTATCTGTGAATCCTCATCTTTACCCTCGTTTCTTTATCGTTAATCTTTCATATTTTTGATGATATCGACGATTAATATTTAATCATCAGTGGAAAAACTAAAGATATATACATATGGAGTACAGAGGAATATACGAAGATGTATTTTTACGTTCTTCAGAATTTTTATTATAAATAAATCTTTGAATTGATACATCGTAGTATCCAACTACAACGACGTTTTATCCTTGATAAATCCTTAATCAAGTTTGAGCACCTTAGAAGAATAATGCTCGCATCTCTTTGCAATTGTTTCTACGTCGCATCAAGCTTTCCTATTTTGAATTGAATCAGAATCCTATTCTGAATTGAGCGAACGAACTTCTAAAAACTCAGACCATCTATATCTGTCTATCAATAAGTTATTTCAAAAAAATCGGTTAATTTTTATAAAGCTTCGTTATTTCATCACACGGAAAAGAAAAACGAGACAAAACGATCGCACTTAAAAGTTTTGAATTGCACATAAATTAGACAGCAATAAAAAGAATATTACGAAAGATTAAATTTGAGAGTATTTATAAGTAATTGTTTCTAAAATTTTGGAGATATAAAGTTATTTAATTTGGTAAGAAAAATATAATGTCAAGGTTCAGATTCTTAATTGGAACCTGATATTATATTCATCTTATGTGCATTCTAAGTCTCGTTTGATAGAAGGGATGAATAAAGTGCATTTTTGATCAATTGTCACTCAACTATAACAGCTATAACATTATTAAGAAACATGTAATAAATAGTCAATCAACAAGTGCACTTATTTGCATCCTAAATAACATGTATATATGGTTCCTTTTATGGAATCGAACCTGACATTAAAATTTTCATAAAATATCGAAAATATTTAACTTTGTGTGTCTTCTTCTCCAAACTAAATAACTTTAAAAATTCAATTAATTTCAGAAACAATTAACTTGCACAAACTTGGATACATTGAACACAAAGTATAAACAGAATAAGAAAAGAAGCGATAGAAGAAAAGAGTGGTACAGAAAAGAAATCAACTTATCTCTCGTTGCGATAATGATACTCAAAGCTTATCAGATTAAATATCCTTACAATTAAATGAATTATTTTTGCAATGATACATCATAAATATACGGACTTTTTTTTCTTCGTTTTTTTGTTCTCGATTTTTCTTCTTTTCGTTTTTTTTTTTTTTTTTTTGCTTTTTCCTTTTCAAAGGCAAATTCGAAGTATGATCAGTCGACGTTGCGATAAGGACTGCTTCAATTGAGATCCCGTCTTCACAGACGGCAATATCGCCGGAAACATCTTAACCACCTCGTAATTCGCCGGTCTCGTCGCCGCTCCTCCTCCTGTTCCGGCCGCGTCCTACAAAAGAACCAGAATTATTCTGTAATATCTTGTTCTAACCAGTGTAATGTAATCTAACGATAGACTACTTTTATTTGCTGTCGCGTACGGATGACTGAAACACGGCGTGCTATCAAATGTTTTTCTACACATGTGAAGAAAAAGAAAAGATATACATATATATATATATATATATATGTGTATATACGTGATAATCAAATATAAAAAAAAACTTTCCTTATTTTGTTTTGTTATACAGTATTTTTAAAATAAAGCGTACCGCACAATATACAAAAAAAAGAAATTTCTTAATAAAAGGAAAAACTGATCTTGTTTTGGAAAAAATAAATTAAAAAATTTGATACATACATTTGAATAAATTTGAACATATATAATATTCAAGAGAGTATAATATTTTGTAAATAGATTCTTTTTTGTTTTCTTTTTTATTTTTTTATTTATTTATTTATTTATTTTTTAATCAAAGAAAATGATCGTTATTGATTGGTTTGATGATATTAAATTTTAGATGAGATCATCTAGATGATTAACGATGATGAACGAATAAAGAAATGAAAATCAATCATGTTGCATAATTTCGTTCAGTACATGTTACGTGCTTGCTAATATTAATCTAATATTGAAAAGACAAATATATGTATTTATATGCATATTACGTCAAATACCTGTCCATACCGTGACTTAGTTCGTTAGCTACAATATAAAGAATTAATACCGTTTTAAATTTTATTCTAGAGTAGAAAAACACGAATTTAATTATTTATCGTTCGCGATAAACTTATAACGATAAAAAAAGAGAGAAAGAAAAAACACTCGATATTGAAAAAAACACATATCCTGGTATATATTAAAAATATTTTGTATTTTGATTAAAAACTTTATTTTCATCGCTACAATAATTTGCAATCGTAAAATACCTATGTGACAACACATGAACATGTCAATTTAATTAATTTTTGCCTCTCTCACTCTCTCTCTCTCTCTTGTATACATATGAAAATTTTTTATGTGCATAAAAAATTACAAAACTTTTTCTTATTTTTAATATTATCATTTACGTTATATTGATTCTTATCTCATATTTTTTATTTTCTTTTTTCATTATATTTGAATAGCCTCTGAGACTTAAAAATAATAAGCTATGATTTTGTACTTTTTGTCCTCCTCTGACTACTTTTTTCATTTTTTTTCTTTTTTTCAAATTCTATACAGTACAGAATTTATATAAGTATATATCTGTTATTTCTCTACAAATATCTTTATATAGTTTCTCAAAAAAAAATATATAAAAAAAAAGAGAAAGGCATAATGAATATAAGGTGAATGGTGAAATTTAAAAAAAATCTATGGACAAGTTCACAATGTGAAAAAAAGGAAGAAGTCAGAAAAATTCTATACACCGTTATTTACTCCGATACCTGCACATTAAAGGGGAAAAGCGGCCGAATTTCTTCAGTATATTATTCTTAATTACGTTGATCATACTAATGTAGTGTATTATCGGAAGATCTTGAAAAGTATTATAAATTTTCACTACCTCTGCGTATCTGATTGAGACATGCCAGCATTCTAATCATAAAAACAGCCGGCACAGTCATTGTATCTTTCGTCTCTTCCAACATGACTGCATTCCTCTTTTTCAACTATAAATAAAAATGCATATCAACAAATTATACTTTATTTTATTTTGAATATTTAATGATAAATAACAAAATAAAAACTTACATCTTCGGCAAACTTTTCATCAAAACTAGATTCTTCATTTATTGGTGCCCAAAGTTTAACATCATAATCAATACCGGCTGTGGCCAGTAATGGCAGGTACGGATGTGGTTGTAAACAGTTAACGACATGTTGGTCGGCTTCCAATAACATGCACAATCTGGCCGTATCTTTTTCCCATATGAAGACGTGGCCACAATCACTACCCGACATGACGAAATCGTTGCCCCAAAAGTTTGCTTCTTTGATCATAGTCCTAAAGAAACTAGAGTCAAACGGGGGAAGACCAACTGATGAGATGATATGGCGGCCTTATAAGAAATGACCCACACCGTTCGAAGGCTTTTTCGGAATTAAAAACGAGTCAACAATTATGGTTTCCGAGGGAAAATCAAACATCATTGTACAGACACATTGAATACAAAAGTTAAAACGTTATGTACATGAAAATAAAGGAACCAAACTCGCCGAATAGAATTGGTGTTTTAAAAAAGTTCCATTAATATTGTCTACTATATCATCATTGTTGATTATCATTCAACATTTAACCAATTAAAGAAATTTTGATTACAACAAATTTTATGTTAATCTTTTAGTCACAATATTTAATCATATACATTCTCCCAATATACAGCCTTCTCAAGGTTCCATCATTTATTACGCGTGAATTGCGTTAATCGTTGGCGACCACCAAATTAAAGTTACAAAAATGAAAATGAATATACCTAGCATTACGATGCCCCATATATTTTTGCTTCACACGAAGTTCTGTTACACTAGTTTTATCGAAAGTCACCGATTCTCGTCGTGTTCGAACATCTCCAATAGCCTCTTCCATTTCAGTTTCAGCTGAACTTTCTAATCTATATAATAAAAATTTATAATTTTTTTATTCGAATATTTTAATTTATTCATTTTAATTATAGAATTTAAAATATTTGCAATATACCTTTCTTCAGATTGTATATCTTCATCATCGCTATCACTAAAAGCGCTCTCATCAGTCTCTGTCAAAAAGATAATATCTGTGATTTCTGATATTTTAAAAAATATATCTGTTTATGCTGCATTTACTTACTTTCTTGTATATCATTATATCGTATGTGTTTGTCATGATTTTTGCCTGAGAAAGTTCCACTAGTTCCAGATGGTCCTAATTCATATTCAAAATAAATTAAAATGACGAAATAATAATAAAATAGTTTAAAAAATAATAATATACCTACCAGCGTGATAACCATCACGAATCATTTCATCAGCTACACCAAGAGATATCGTTGCACTTGTTGAACTTTTATCCGTATAAGTTAAACTTACAGCAGGTTCGCTGCCGTGTCTATAAGTAAAACGTAAACGAATAGAAATATTCGATCGAAGTACCAATTTAACTCATTTATATTATTCTTTCTTAGATATCATACTTTTCAAGAAACCCAACTCTCATTTTCGTCAATCTATCTTGAAGATTTTCCATCATATGTCCTTCCTGTTTATTTTCCATACTGCTACAAGGAGAATCATCGTTGCTACTTTGATCATCTTCTGGTATATCATTGGTTTTATCCAAAGTATGCGATGAACACGGTTGTGTAGAATACTTTTGAGTTTCTACAAGACTAGATTCAATTTCCATAGGAATATTTGATTTGAGTTCAACTGGCGAACATTCCTCCATCGTTTGATTTGAAGGCATAATATCATTAGATGATGTATTTTCTTTTGTTTCCACGGAATGACTTGTTCCAGGATTATTTTGCATGCCACTAGTACTTGGATTTTCAGATTTATCCATTTGATGTTCTAAAATAATAATAAATTGTTGATTATCATTTCAAAAATATAATAAAAATCAGAAAACTTTAAGTAAAATATAATTAATACCTTGATTAGATTGAATTTGAGTTCTTTCCATTCTTTCGACCTCGTTATCCCGTCTTTCTTCATTAGATTCTGTAACATTTTCGTTGCTATTTTGAGTATTATCTTGATGATCAATTACACCTTCCAAACTATCTTCACCACCGCCACATAATGCAGCTCTAGTAGCTGGATCATTTAACATTCTACTAAGAACATCCGTCATTCTTTGCATTAACGATGTTTGAAGAACAGGTCTGGCTTGAGCAATTTCTGAAACATGCAAAAATAAACATACATATTGTATTTTATAAAGTTAAAAATAACAAATATTTAATTTTCAAGTACCTGTACCGCTACGTCGACCTCCCTCACACTCAGGTCGAGCATCAGGACCAGTATCAGACCAATCTCCTCTAAGTCTTAATCTACGTACTGGTAATGGCGAACGTAATCTTTGCTTCTTACCCTCTCCTTTTCTAACTGCGATATCTTTCTTTAACTGTACACTAGCTTGGTCCTAAATAAAACGATCGATTCTGTAACTTATTATAGCATACGTTTATAGTATTTCTTTAAAAAGAAAATATATCTTGTACCTTTACATTGAACAAATAAAGATGATCACTACTATAACTAACAAGAACATCCTGACCATCAGGGCTATAATTTAAAGATGTTATTCTATAAGAATTCCCTTCAAATTCAGGAACAGTGAAAGTACATAAAGGTTTTACTGCTCCAGGTGTATCTGTCCATCCTGAAATTATTTAATAATTTTTTATTTGTTTTTCTATTTAATCTAATTCTAGTTAATCTATTTCTAGATTTTCTAAATAGAATTTTTATTTTAATTACCAGTGGCGGGTGTTCCAAGTGTTCTTCTATCAAGTATTCTAACTGTACTATCAGAACATCCTATTGCTATTTGATGGAGTGAAGCAAGATTTACAGAGAGAGCAGTTATAGCTCTCTCGCATGAAACTAATACATCTTCTGTACATCTTGAGGCATTACATTTATCCTTTATTCTAAGATCAAACCATCTCACAGTTCCATCTTCTCCGCAACTTAAAAAATTATGCGGTTCACCAGGTATTGTCGCTATTTCATATGTAGTACCAACATGACAATTAAATTGATTATTAAATGTTTTTGTTCTTCTTATTAAATCTATAATGGAAATTTTATTATTATAAATCATTTACCATGTTGTATTTAATGAAAAATCATCAAATCTTCACCTGTATATAAAATAATACCATCACCACTACAAGAAACTATCCGATGATCTCCACTATTAGGCAGAAACTTTGCACTAAATATATTCGCTCTATGACTGGTTTTATAATCTGTTAATACCTGTAAAAAGAAAACCAAAAGTACTATTGATGGTTCTTTAACAAAATATTTTTTTTATTAAGAATATTTTTATTTAAAAATAATTTTTATTTATTTTTTTATAACATTAAATATATATAAAACTTTTTATTAAATTAATAATTAAATTAATAGTTCTAGTACTAGATGATAAAATTAGCATACATGTATTACATACAAGGGTTTTTGTTCATTTGGCAAAGCTACTACATTTCTATCTATGTCAATGTTAGACCTTGACTAGAATTAAATCTAATGATATTTCCTTGAAAAAAGATTATTGCCAATGAAACTTTCTTCAATATATTTCCTTTTAATCAAACTTACTGTCATTCAATCTTATGTAAAAAAAAAATATAAATATACAAACTTTGTAAATGATGACAAAAACATTTCTATAAAGATATTGATATAATATATCAAAAATAATTTTATTTGTGATATATTTATAGTAATATATAATAATTTAATAATATTATCAAACCAAATATAATATAACTCAATAAAAATTATAAAAATAAAATATTATAATATATATTTTTTTCTATTAATAAATAATAATTAAACATTTATACCAAAAGATAAATATTATAAAAAATATATAAATACAAGATAAATATTAATAAAATAAATAAAATAAATATATAAATAAAAAATCACAAACCACAAAAGAAGCATATACAAAAATCTTTTAAATCATTTTGTCAAGGATGAAAATATAAATAACCTTGGCATGGAATTTTACAAGATATGAATATATCTTGGTAAAAATAATATATATATTATATATATAATATTATAAAATATATAAATATATAAATTATAAAATATATTATAAAATAAAAATATTTTAATATAATAATTATATACAGCTTAAATTTATATTATTGAAATATTATAGAAAAGTTATTAAAAACATATTCTTTTAAAAAAATTAATTGTTTTATTATATTCAAACTTTGAATATTTTAATTGAAATATATAAATAATAAAAATTATAATCTTCCATAAACTTGACACAGATATATAAGATTCTAATTTAATTAAATGCATAAAAATAGAGATTAATGAAAATAAACACATACCTCATAATTATAAGCATTTGTAAGGACAAGATGTTGATCATCACTACCAGATAATATCAATTCTCCAGTAGCATTCCAGCAAACAGAATTTACACAACCATTATGAACTTTTAATCTTCTCAATAATGCCATACGCTGCATCATTTGAAGACTTGCTAAAATATATGAATACTAATTTTAATAAAATTTTAAAATAGATAAAAAATATATTTGAATTTATTTTTATTCAATTTTGCATATGAAATTGTTCCTATTTAAAAAAAAAATCTATAATAATTAGTTACAAGTTTTATTATATAAATACAAAAGTATTTAATTTTTAATAATTATTTTTTTTAATTATGATTATTATAATAAAAATAGATTTTTATTTTATATTATATTTTACAACATGTTATTAAATTTTAATTTTATAATATAATGCGAAATACCTTTACTGCTGGAATAAAGCTTCATTCTCGTATAATCATTGTATGGCTGATAATAAATGTCACGAAATATATTTGAACGTGTCTTCTTCATTATTATTTGTTAATTGTTATCGTTAAACTTAAGCGTCAATTTTCGGAGTACATCGATTCTAAATTAATGTCAAATTTTTGATATCTATGGTGAGTGACGAATAAATTTGTCAATCACCAAAAAAATCTTTTTTTGTATAGACCAAATCAAAGAGCAAGTAACATGCTCTTACGCAGCAAAAATCCACGAGGATCATACCAAGACGACATGGCACTGGTACTAAAAATAAACTCCAAAGCTTCGAAAATTTGTGCAATCAGATGAACCGCGATTGCTTCTAACCAGAACAGCTGAGCGAATATACACACACAATGTCGAGAAGAAAGTGCGCGAGAACTCGATCATTTCATAGGAGGTATAATCGATGTCGACAATGACGTAGCATAGATTTAGAGAACCCTTCTTTTACGATATTTATGATAGATTAAAAAAGAAAAAAAAAATATTCTTTATTAAAATATACATTTTCTAATCTTTATATTTTTAATTAAATTTTATATTTAAATTCTATTTATATTTTTATTTTTCAACAATAAATTTTAATTATATATATATATATATATTTATATATATTTATAATTATATATGTGTATATATGTTCAAAAAATTTATGATAAAATCTAATTAAGGTGATTCTCATTAAACGAGTCTTATCAAAATATTTCATGAATGTTCAGCAAGATAATCTTACATATCTCGAACATTAAAGAGACTATCGATATATCGAAATTCTCTATCGAAAAGTTTACATTTTTTCAGAAAGATTCTGCGAAGCGTGTGCCAAATGATTTCATCATTACCGTGATTCATTTGTGTCCATTTCCATTATTATCACATTTTCTATAAGCAGTGAAGAAGAAATAAATGTGCTCTTCAAAAAATATTAAGCAAGCCGTGCGAAGGCTACATAAGGTTATGACTATTTAGCATTTTAAAGAATTTCGATTAACTGATAACTAAAACATAAAGTGATTTGGCATTAATCGCAGTTAAAATGACAGTTATGGATTTTTTTGGTTGTGCCTTTTTGGCTTTTGGCCCACCATTAGCTATGTTTACATTTACTGTCGCAGCTGAACCTATTAGAATTATTATACTAATAGCCAGTGCCTTTTTTTGGTTAATTTCTTTATTGTTGTCATCCATACTCTGGTATGCTGTAGTGCCACTACAAAATCATCTTGCATTTGGACTTGTATTTTCTGTATTATTTCAAGAGGCATTCAGGTAATTAAAATCTTAAATTATGATATATTTATATTTTTTATTTTAATTATCTTAAAAGTTATATTTTTCGTTTTTTTGCCATTTTTATACAGATACCTCTTATACTGGGTACTAAGAAAAGCTGAAAGAGGGTTAGATAAAGTAACAACAACACATGTGGCAGATAGTAGACATGTATTTGCATATGTATGTGGTTTAGGTTTTGGTTTTATGAGTGGTGTTTTTGCACTAGTCAATGTCTTAGCAGATGCTGTTGGACCTGGAACAATGGGACTTCGACAAGGCACAGAGTACTTTTTTGTAATATCAGCAGCCACAACTCTTTGCTTTATCTTGCTGCATACATTTTGGGGTGTTGTATTTTTTTCTGCTCTGGATAGAAAAAATTGGGGACAAGTTATTTGGGTTGTTGGCTCACACTTGTTTGTGTCATGTATGACCTTGTTAAATGTAAAAGAAGCTTATGTAGCTACTACTTTATCTGCCTATGTTATTTTGATGATAACAACTGCACTTGCATTCAAAGTTGCAGGTGGCAGACCTCAAAGTATAGTTCAATGTTTTTCAAGACAGTAAAAGGAAGGATTTTTATAAGAAAATTAAAATATAAATAGTTGTGTTTGACCTAAATGAACATTAGAAAATGACAAATGTTTCTTTCCTTTAGGTATTAGACCACAAAGAGATTGTTCATTGCTCTAATATACACTATGTGTAAAAAGATATGATGTTAAATTAACAGACCATATCTTATTCTTTGATATTAAACAAGCTTATAATGATCAGAAATATATTAATATAAGTCTAAATCATTAAATTCACTTAATGAATTTCTACACTTGACCAAAATAAGTAGGAAAATCTATTAAGTGTGTCAGTATTATTTATTCTTCATATGTAATACTTTACTGCAAATGTAAAAATTTTGTGCAAAAAAGTTATACTAAATGATAATACGTTCTAGCACAGAATTATTTGGTCAAGCTGCTAGTCCGTCCCTTAACCCATCGAAACAATTATATAATCAAAACGCGATAATGTTTCGATCCAAAATATTATGAAAAAAAAAAATAAAGTCTAAAATGAGTGTGAATGTACATATGTAAGAATGTAGGTATACATATATAATGTATATGTGCTATCAAACAAAGAGTAAATTTGTGTATTAATTCACGCCTTACATCTAAAAACAAACTATTTCAAAAAGTTATGAAAAAACGATAATACGTAAGGAATTGTTCAGTAGTTTTTGTATGTATATAAGAGTCATTAACAACTGTAATTTAGGTGTTTAATATACATCTGTATATTTGGCATTATGTTTCACTTACCATTTCACGATTTATTACTCTTCATATTACATTTCGTATGTCATTCAAATAAAAACCATTTTTGTATAACTAAAAGTATATTTAATTATATAATCCTTATTCTGAATAATAAATACCACAGGATGAAATAATATAATATATTTAGGATATGAAAAGAAAACAACAAATTTACTTTCGAAAAGTATGAAGGTTTTAATCATTTTTTCATTGAGAAAAGAAAAAAATTACAAAATAAAATGAATCACAGTCACGAGATATTACTCGAACAAATTCATTTATCATTCAATTATACAATAAAAAAGATATATATTAAACGTAAGATAAAATTTGGATTTTTAATCATGTTTTCACCCTGTGAAATAATTAAATTCCTAGTCAGTCATTGATAACATCTAGGAACTTGTTAAGGAAGCCATAAGTAATTCCATTTTGTTTAAAAAATTCTTTCCTTCCATTTTGTCCCACCGAACTTCTTTGAAAGAACCACCTAAATTTTCCCATTTTCTTTCTCTTACTAATTGTCCAGGAAAGAAATCTTTTCTGGGAGAATGAGCTATTGCAACTTGTACTCCCGTTTGTGGTTCACATCTAACAGCTATCATTCTAAAATTACAATAATTGTTTTAAATAAAAATACGCATCTTATTTAAAAAAAAAAAAAAAGAAAAATCAATAAGTACCTATCGCCTATTGGTGAAGCTAAAATACAACTACTAGCATTTCCTAGAGGTTCAACTGCACCTAGACCAAGGTGTGAACTATTAGCTAAAAATTGCCAACCCATACATTTTGCTAATGCTTGTACTGCTGTTATTTGATGCTGATAGATCTGTAATGATATAATAAATAATTATGAATATATTCAATAAAGATAAAAATATAAAATATATATATATATTACCTGACAAAATATCAAATCACGTAATTCTTGAGGTTCATAACTCATATGCATTACTCTACCATCTCGGCACACACATTTGAGAGATTTTTCTCCTATATGAACAACAAGTGATGTTCGATATACAGTGTCATATCCATGTGTTAAAATATTAATCTTTACACAAGATTGTGTAGGAGAATTTAATGCATTCCAATGAGATACAATCAAAGGATCTTTTACTTCTTTTGCTATTGTATCTAATACATATTCTGTGCGCAATCGCATAAAATAATGTTGAGCCTGTTGGATAATTTGTTCTAAGAGAGTTTGACTTTTTGTCATTTCTAAAAGTTCGTATCGATCGGCAGCTGTTGGACCAGCTAAACATCTTCTTTTACTGGGCCCAAGAGGTCCAGAAGAAGGATGTGGAAATGGATGATGAGTATTTTTGTGATGAACTTCACGTAAAAGTTGATGCAAAGAATGCTCTAACACGTGATCATGTTCGCTTTTATGAGGAGGAGGAGCAGTTGGTTTTTTATCGTTTCCCGTACTATGACAAAGTCCTATAATTAACTGAATTCCAGGCAGCACCTAAATTATAAATATTTATATACAATGCATGATAAATAAGTATATATAACAGTTAATAACAAGAAAGAAATTACTGTTGCCATGATTTGATTGCCAACAACCATATGAGGTATAGGCGCGCGTAAATGTACAGCTTCTCTTGCTAATTGACTGAACAATTCTTTACAAAAAAGAACATTTTGTGCAGCTTCCAACTTTTGTTGCCAGTGCATATCTGCATTAGAACTATGTGCACTGTTATTAAGTAAACTAATATTTGCACTACATAAATCCTCTTGATCTACAAAAAAAATTAAACAAAAATTATATATTAAATATAAAATATATTAAATATAAAAAACTTTTAAAAATAAGATTAAATAAAATAAGATTTCCAACATAAATATATATTTATACATTTTTACCTTTTTGACATAATACTTCTATATAAGCAACACCCTGTAATTCACTTGGAATAGTAACTCTCAATGCAGATGCTTTGGAATTTGGAGGATGAGCTTGGCCAGATGTATTATTACTAGCATTTGGAGATGCAGGAGGGCTTGTACTATTCTTTTCTTCTTCTTCTGCTTTTGTAACTTCAAACATACCTGTCTGAGGGAATTTAGATCCAGCTGTAATATTTTATAATATTAATGTTAAATTATGTAATTTTAAATATTTATTTAATTATATAAAAAATTATAAACCTGTTCTATAACTAAGATCACCAATGATTGAATTAGAAACTTTTTTCAAACGCCAATTTTGTCTTAATCTTAATAATTCAATGTGAAAATCTGGAGTTGATCTATTTCTAGCTAATTCATTTTGACAATTTTTTAATCTATCAGCACCCATCATAATGACAGATGCAGCTCCAGCTAATGCTTTTTTCCTAGCATATACTTGTATCATAGGCTTTACTTCTGTTGGTTCTTGTGGTACTGGATCAAGAACCATATAATGTTTCTCTTTTGCTATTGCAAGAACATCTGCTAGCACACATACTTCTGTCAGTGCATTCCTGTAAATATAATTAAATATAAATATAAATAAGAATTTTTTACTTTAATAAAACTATATTTAAAAAATATTTAATAATATGCAACCTTAATTTATTTCTAACACTATCCCATGGCCATAAAGATGACTGAAAAGAAGCAGAGTCTTTTGTGTCTTCTTCACTTTTTTCTCCACTTTCTAATTCCTTTTTAACATCTTCACCATTAGTTTTACTGAAATCGATTTTTTGCGCGATTTTTGCCAAGTTTTCGGACAATGTAAGAGGTCTAAAAAATTATAAATTATTATGGTTAATTATTTTAATTTATATAATGTTATATTTTAAAATATAAATAAAATATTTTTTTAATTTAGAGGTTAGGAACATATAATAATTTTATTTGTTACTTTGTATACATTCATAGTTAACTTTTTATTTTATTTTATTAAACATTAAAAGAATAAACTACATACGCTTGGTAAATTTCTTGACCATCATAAGTGATTTCCTGAATTTGATTCTCGATCGGTGCTTCTACAGAAATATTCACTGAATACGCCATTATTGTTTTCTTAAGGCAGAGTTACCACTATAAGAAATTAAGTGATAGATAAAAATTTCTATAAAGAAATAAACTTTAATTTAAATAAATTCAAATCTAATATTGAAATACTATATTATTTTTCAATAGATATATCTATGCATCTTTTAAATAAATTATTTAAAAAGTGCATATATTTTACTTAAAATATTTTTAAAACAAAAATTTGAATAATTTTAATATTTAAGAACGTAGACTAATAATTTAATGAGTTTAGGAAAGTTAAAATTTTGCCGGGATTTTGATCTGTATTTGCGTAAACGGCACGTAATTTGAGAAAGTAAAATAAAGAATTTGCAATATATAAATATTATAACAATATGTCGAAAGTGAATACATTATATAATTATTTTACATCGCCTAAAACTCCTAAAACACCTAAACAATCAAATAATAAACAGATATCTGATGAAAAACCTACAACACCGAAAAGAGCAAGGGGACAATTGAACAAAGGTATATTATGAGAACAATTTATGTATAAATAATTTATTTAATATAATAATATAACATGCGATAAAATATATATTTTGGGCCGCATGTATTTTTATATTATGAAATTAAATAGAAGTTTTTATAGAAAATTAGATTTTATAAAGTTTCGGAAAAATTTACATAAATAAATAATAATATTGATTAAAATTTTATATTTACTTCAATACAGTAAATGTTATATTAAATATTTGTTATTTTATTTTGTTATATAAGTAATGTAATTTTTCATATTATATGTAGTTAAAATTCCAAGTAAAGGGAAAGAAAATAAGAATCTTGAAGATAGAAAAAGAATATACAAAGATGATGAAGAAGAAAAGGAAGAAAATGAACCAATTCAAACAAAAAAACGAAGACTAATTATTCCTGATGAAGAATCTGGAGAAGATTCTGGAGATGAATTTAAGCCTGGTTTGTGTTTGGTTAGAACATATCTTATTTTTTTCAAAAATAAATTATTATTATTATATTTTAGACCTAGATGATGAATCAGAAGAATCAGATTCAGGATCTGAAGGAGTTAGTGAAAGTGAACCACCAACCGCAAGTGAAGAAGAAACTCCAGAGGTAAAGAATTAATTATAGAAAGATAAAAAATTTTCATATTTTTTTAAATTTCATATAACTGAATATTAATTATCTTTTAGAAAAAACGGAAACTTATTAATTCTGTTGGAAGAAAACCACAAAAAGGTGCAAAGAAAAATTTCAAAGAAGTAAGTTAACAATTATAAATTATTTTATTTTATTATTATTAAATATTCATTATCTAATAAATCTATTAAATCTTAATTAGGATAAAAAAGAATCAAAACTTCAACAACAAAGTCAATCCCAAGGTTCAAATAATGTTATAGATTCTTGGCCACATTTAAAGTATGATTTTCTTCAACCAAATAAAATACGAGATATTAATAAAAAATCGCCAAAAGATTCAGATTATGATCCTAAAACTCTATATGTTCCTTTGGATTTTTTAAATCAACAAACTCCAGTAAGATATGAAACTAAATATTCTTCATTTTATTATTATTTAATTATTTTTTATTATTATTTAATTATTATTTTTTATTATTTTATTATCTTTTCATTTTATTTAACATTTTTTATATCATGATTTTTTTCAGGCTATGAGACAGTGGTGGGAATTGAAAAGTAAACATTTTGATTGTGTTCTTTTCTTTAAGCTAGGAAAATTTTATGAATTATATCATATGGATGCTGTAATAGGCGTTAATGAACTTCATCTTACCTATATGAGAGTATGTTCTTTATTATTTTAGAGAGTTTTAAGTTTTAAAAAAATTAATTATTTATAATTTTTTAGGGAGAATTTGCACATTCGGGATTTCCTGAAATTGGATATGGCCGTTTCTCAGCGAGTCTCATAGAAAGAGGATACAAAGTGGCAAGAGTAGAACAAACGGAAAATCCAGATATGATGGCACAACGCGTTAGCAATAGTATGATATCATAAAATATATTGTATATAATTTATAATTATTAATCTTAATTTAATTATACATATTGTTTTTAGTGATTAGACCAACAAAATTTGATAAAGTAGTTAAAAGAGAAATTTGCCAAATAACTTCTAAAGGTACAAGAGTGTACACTCCACAAGATATAGAACCATCTACACCGAATTCTAATTATTTATTATCAGTGATTGAAAAATGCCCATCTGGTTCTAACATATCTCATTATGGAGTTTGTTTCTTAGACACTACAATAGGAGATTTTTATCTTGGTCAATTTGAAGATGATCGATGTAATTCTAGATTATTAACTTTACTCGCTCATTATCCTCCAGTTCATGTAAGTATTTGTTTTCATAATCAAATAAATAAATCTATTATTTAAATTAATATTTTATAATTTATTAAATATTTATTTATTTTTATTTATTATTATTCTTTAGGTTGTTTATGAACGTGGTAATTTGTCTCAAAGAACGTTACAAATTTTTAACAATAATTTAGCAGCATGTATTAAAGAATCACTTTTACGCGAATCTCAATTTTGGTCATCTTCGACTACATTAAAAGTAAGTTTAGCATATTTATGTGCAATATCTAAAAAATTTTATTTAAAATCTTATTTAAAAAGTCTTTTTTAATTTACAGAATCTTCATGAAGGAGATTATTTTAAAAAATCAGATTCTGAGTTTCAATGGCCTACAGGCTTACAATCATTTCTTAATAAAAGTAAATATTTTTAATATAATTTTTTAATAAAAGTAATTAATTAAAGTTTTTCTGACATTTTTATTTTTTTAGATGATAGTTTAGGTTTAACCCCTGCTGAAGATAAAGAATTAGCAGTACATGCTTTAGGTGGATGTGCATATTTACTTAAAGAATATCTGCTTGAACAACAATTATTGGCACAAGGACGTTTTAAAACATATGTTCCTCCAGATTTTTCAAATAAAACATTTGAAACTTCCAAATTTGCAAATAATATGGTAATTATGAATTTCATTTAATTACATATGACATTAATTTATTAATATTATCATTATTAGGTTTTAGATGCTATCACGATTAATAATTTGAGAATTTTCGGGGAAGGTTCTCTTATAAAAACGCTAGATCGTTGTTGTACCGCATTTGGAAAAAGGTATATTTAAAATAAATATATAAATATTTTAAAATCTAATAGAATATTTAATTGTAGATTGTTACGAGAATGGATTTGTAGACCATCTTGCCGAAAAAATGTTATAATTGAACGTCAAGAAGCTATACAAGAATTAATAGATCATTCAGAAATAGTACAAACTACTCGTAGTATATTAGCAGGGCTTCCTGATCTTGAAAGATTATTGAGCAAGTGAGTTATATTATTAACAATTAAAGATCATTAAAAGTATTTGCATTTATAAGTGAATATTTTATGTACACAATTTTATAATATTAGGATTCATGCTCAAGGAAATCCGGCAAAACAAAATAATCATCCTGATGGCAGAGCTATCATGTTTGAGGGGCAAACGTATTCAAAGAAAAGAATTATAGATTTTATTACTACTTTGAATGGTTTTGAAGATGTCTTAAAAGTAATTGCTTTATTTGAAGGTAATTATATTATGTTATATGCAATAATTAATTAGAATCGTTATACGTATTATTTATTTTCTAGATTTCTGTAGCACTTTAATAAGCAAATGTACTAAAGTGGAACCAGATGGTGAATTTCCTTCATTAAGAGAATCTTTAGATTATTTTAAGGTAATTAATATTTTCTATGTATTATTAACCATTAATTGAAATACAAGCATGCAATATACGTTTTAGACTGCATTCGACCATGAAGAAGCCAAAAAAGTAGGTTGTATTGTTCCAAAGAAAGGAGTCGATTGTGAATATGATTCCGTTTTAATGGAACTTGAGGAAATAAAAAAAGATTCAGAACAATATCTTGAAAAGCAAAAAAAACACTTTGGGGTAAAAATCACGTTTCATGGTTCGGATAAAAAACGTTATCAGATCGAGATTCCAGATTCTCAAACGAAAAAAGTTGGTGCTGGATTTGAACTTCAATCACAAAGAAAAGGATACAAACGTTATTATACTGCAGAGTCAAAGGTTTAACTTTTTTTTAAAAATGATATAACATTTTCAAATAAAATAAAATGATTAAAATATTTTTTTCAGGAACTTTTAAATCGACAAATAAATGCCGAAGAGCATAGAGATAAAGTATTGAAGGATTTAAATAGAAGAATATTTGCACAATTTAGCGAAAAATATGATATGTGGAGTATGGCAGTTTATAAATTGTCTGTTTTAGATGTTCTTATTTCTTTAACAGAATACGCTCTCAGTGGTGATATGTGTGTACCGGAAATTAATGATGGTACAAATGAAAAGGTAAATTTAACATATTTCATTAATTTAATTATTATAAAATATTAGAAATTGTTAAAAAATATTTTCTTTTATAGATATTTATTGATATTCGAGACGGACGACATCCATGTATTATTTCAGATACATTTATACCAAATGATACTTTATTAGCAACTGAAAATTTCGCTTCTTTCATGATTCTCACTGGACCAAATATGGGCGGTAAATCAACATTGATGCGTCAGGTTGCCCTTCTCACTATAATGGCACAAATTGTATGTTTTAATAACATATAATATTTTAAACTATAAAAAACTAATTATTATATTTTATAGGGAAGTTATGTTCCTGCAAGTTCCTGTCGTTTAACATTAGTAGATCGTATTTTCACGAGATTGGGAGCAAATGACGATATTTTGGCTGGTCAGAGTACATTCTTAGTAGAATTAAGCGAAACTTCTGCAATATTACAGCATGCTACACCATATTCTCTCGTATTACTCGATGAATTAGGTACAAATTTAATTAAAGTTATCATGAAATTATTATATTAATTAAAAAAAATAATTTAATTTAATATTAATAGGACGTGGTACATCGACGTATGATGGTACGGCAATTGCTGCTGCAGTTGTAAATGCACTTACAAAATTAAACTGTCGTACTTTATTTTCGACGCATTATCATTCTTTGGTAGAAGATTATAAAAATAATAAGAAAATTACATTAGCTCATATGGTATATGAAAAAAATTCTTATATATTTTTCTTTTTGATTGTCTCTTGTTTCTTTTTTTAACTTCTTTGAAGTATTGTTTTAATTCTAAAAATTTTTTTATTCCATTTTTTAGTTTTATAAATATTTATCTTGCTTTTTATAGGCATGCATGGTAGAAAATGAGGAACAAGATAAAGTATCCCAAGAAACAGTAACATTTTTATACAAACTCGGCGAAGGAGCTTGTCCGAAATCATATGGTTTCAACGCTGCCCGATTAGGTGGTGTTCCAGCTGTAATTACAAGTAGAGCACATGAGATTTCAAAGAAACTCGAAAAAGAAACAAATCAAAAACATTTCTTTACTACTTTGTGTAAAGCGAATGGTTCAACTATAAGGGATCTAATTGCTGCAATGTGAAAAACTGTGAAAAATGAGTAGATATTAAATATTTATCAGCATGTTTAATTAACTTCAGTTACCCTACAGTATTATATTTTTTATATAGTATTCATAATGTATATTTATTATGGTTTGTTATAGCTTACCATTTTTTTTATTTGATATTATCATATATTTTGATAATAAAAGATTCTATAAATGCAAACTTAGTATTACTTTTATGACGTGAATGGGACAATAATAAATAAAAAAAGAAAACAATTGTTGCTTACAAAATTTTATTAATTAATGCCAGAGTACAAAAGAGCTACTTATGAGACGAGAATATGATGCAATACAAACAATATAATTTTTTACTCACACCAAAATGATGAAGAAATATTATTTCTTCTCTTTTTCTTTTTTTTATTTCGAGTATAAGAGAAATCGTGTGCACGAATCTTATTATGAAATAATAAATACAATTCCTTACATTATTGTGAAATAACAAAGAAGCAAATAGCGAACAACTATAAAAAATGAATGATTATTAATTATTTCATCTGATAGAATTACGTTGAATCTTTGTTTCAAAAAGAGTAAGTATTACAGCGATAAATAGAATTAAACCTAATCCTTTATGTATATTGATTAAGGATGATTATTTGTGTAAATAGTAAATTTGCTACTAATATTATTTTCATGATTATTACGCTTCGATGCCTGAAAGTCATTTTTCTGTTTTTTTTTTTTTTTTTTTTTTTTATCGAATGAATGAAAAAACTTAAAACAATCAACAGAAAAAAAGGAACTGTGCTCTCTATAAAATTATACAAATGGCGTTCATGCAGAAGAAAAAACTAGATACGATTATTAAAAAGGCACAAAAATTAAGAAAGCACTTGACCATATTTTTTTTAATGGGTTATATATGATGTATTTTTATTATCATTATTAATATTATTATTATTATTAATATTATTATTATTATTATTATGGTTGTTATTTTTTTTTCTTCTTTCGAATAATACATGCCTACTTCTAATATACAATTCCAAGAGGTTTTATCGAACGTTTTCTAATTTTATAATTATTCCTTATTATATTCAAGTTAATCACGATCTATCTCTCTATTTCATTCTGGACGTTCGTACCTTTTTTTTCTCTTCATTAATTTTTCGCTATTCATCATCAAACAAGTTACGATTTGATTTATTTATCCGAAGAAAAAATCAATCGACAACAGTCTATCAATTTAAAAAAACATGATTTTCATGGCGCTCACTTCTAAATTTTTACCTTTCAAAATTTGGCAGGATTCATTTTTCAATCGATCTATTTTTTCTTTCCCTTTCTACATCCTTCACAATTTTTATATTTCGAAAAACTCCATTGTGAAAAAAAAGAAAGAAAAAAATCATTTTTATTCGTCTTTTGTGTCTTTCTCTCTCCTTTTATAATATATTCCATACTTTTTTCCTCTTTCACTCTTTTTTTCTCTTTCTTTCTTTCTCTCTCTGTTCTCGTTATTCTCTTATCAATGTAGGATTAACGGTTCAAAGAATATCGATACCTTAGGATAACATGATCTCTGGAATATTATAGAAAGGTGCAGTTCAAAAGAGAACAGCCGGACATTGGAAAGGGGTAGAGAGGCAAAAATTCTCTCGAAAACAAAGTATATTCGAGAAAAACTATCTTACATCCTTCTTCAAAATTTTTTTTTTATCTTTTATGATTCAAAAAACATGGACAATTTTTAGTTTTCCCTGAATAAAATTATGCGCTTACAAAAAAAATCGTGAAAATGGGGATTTTTAGAAGAGAAAAGGAATGACGTATTTATTTTTATTTTTCTCCTTTTTTTTCTTTTTTTTATAGTGAAAACCGAACAACTATTCTATTCATTTCGGCAATTAGGACCTAAGAATTGTCACAAAGATGACAGTTTGCTCTTTTCAGTTTACTTTCTCTGTCTTCTTGCATTAACCCTTCCAGTGAAATGTCTAACTTAACGAAAGAATATTATTTAGCCATCATAAAAATCGATTTCTTTCAATTGAACAGAAAGATCAATAAAAAAAAAAACGCGAAAGAAAAATAAATAAATAAAAGACGAACATCGTTAACTAACCTCAATGATAATTCAGAGAGGAAAATCTAGAACATAAAACGAAAATAGTCGAATATAAAAAATAACGAATGTAAATTAACTTATGAATAAATCCAAATAAGATACGATTTTTGGAATATAAATTTAGAATACAATACAAACCTGAATAACTCGTATTTATACCATATAATCTTTAAATTTTCACTTCTTTTCAATCTACGTAATATAAAAACTCATTCGTACTTCGAACGAACAATATAAATCACGAACCATAATTAATATTGAAACGAATTTAACTACAAAGATCAACATGACACATCTATCTATCGTCGCATATGAATAATATAAATCAGAGGAATACAATTCATCATTCGAAAGAATTCGTACAATCAGTTTTCCTTCCTTTTCTTTATCGAAACAAGGGATCAACCAATTCACAGCAATATTCTTGAAGTGATATTAATGAAGATCCGATTTTCTTCAAATTTACCAATACTGGAAGGGTTTACGACGCCAATCGAAAGGAAAATGCCGATTAGCGGTTGTCCAAGAGGCCACAGATTTTTACCACAGTCCAGATGAATATCCACCAGGTGGCACGCGTGTACGTGCCGGAACTTTTGCTGCTGGCGATGTATCGTTCGATTTCTCGCTGGAATTCGAGCTAGTCGTTCCATTTTGGACAGCTGGTCCGTTGTTTTGTGATTCTCCATAACCAATTCCGGTTACCGGATTACCATCTGTGAAGAATATTTTTTCATCTGTCAATAAACATTCTAGGATATAAAATATGGATTCGATATTTCTCATTTTTATACAAATTTTGTTATTTGGTTTTGGATGATATTTGTTTCGACTAGGACTAATCGAATCGAATCCAATAAATCGAAAAATTTATAAACTGTGAAAGTGTATATAGGAATCGCGTAATATTATTTAATGATTAATTGAAAGTTTTTGCTCTAATATTCGTGGATTATTTCTCTATGGATCTATTATAACGAAGATTTGGTGATTTTGTGATTTAATATAATTGAATTAATATAATTTGGTTGAAATTTAATTCTGTGATTAAAATAGAGATTTTCAAATGTAAATAGGTTTTTTCTTTGTAAAGAATTCTATGCAGTACCATTAAAATTTATTGAAAATTGATTGTTCAAAATATTATCTTCATTATCTCTATAGTTTACATAAATTTTGAATGAAAAACCTTAGGAAAATTCTTTTTTTGTCCTACATTATTAACTTTTGTATAATAATTTCGAAACATCAAAATGTTTTTACAAAAAATCACTTTACATTTGAATATCTTAATTATTTTTAACTAAATATCTACAACATTAAAATTTTAGATTTTTTTACTTTTTCTCGTTGTTATGATTTCTCTATTTGTTGTAATAAAATTGATTTTAAACTGGTTACATGCAATAATTTCATATCAGGAGTATAAAAAATTATTGTATTATATTTAAACAAATAAAACGAAAGAGAAAAAAATATTGACCAGATTATAGTGATATATAATTGCGTTTTTTTTATACACCTGATATCCATGTGGTGATATAACATCGATAGGGAAATCGAAATTTCACGCGAAATCCACATGCTGGCACTCTCCCTTCGTGATTTTTTTTCTATATCTCCCGTACACACCCGTGAAAGGGGGACAGGGACACACAGGTAATTTACTCGACAGGCAATTAAGCGTAAAACGTAAAGAACAACCAATCGTTTTCGATGCATTGATAAAGAACGATCAGATATAAAATATTCGTAAAATCTACTTTGAAGGACTTATATTATGCAAAACAAGGAACGTGTAATCGTCTACTACATAGAATACGAACTTACCGTACTATATTATAAATTATTTTGTTTGTGTCAATGTTGATTTATAGGAATTTTTTAAAGAATTGCTCGAATTCATTATATTTATTTATTTATTTTTATTTTTAAATACAAATATTTTTCAAAATGAATTCAAGCAAATCTAGGACATGGAAATATATATAACATAAATATGCGTACAAGCAATAATAAATTTTAATTTTAGATGGCAAGTAATTTTGGAGATTAATCAAGATAGAAATATTTCATATTCTTTTTTCTTTTAAATTATCGATTACCTTTCATTTAGATTTAAGATTATATTTTATAGACTTTTGAAAAACAAAAATTACAAATAAAATAAATCAAGTAGTTAAACACTAAAATTAGTCATTATTTTAATTCTGAAATTAATAACATATATATATACACACACAAAAAATACACTGTAAAGAAAAGAAATACATAAAGATATATTATAAATACATTTCAATGTTCAACAATGACTACACAAATTGTATATCGAAGAAGGCTATATAAGGAAAAGAAATGATAAAACAGTGAAAGTTGAAATCGATTAATAAAGAATTAAATTTATATCTTCTCTCTTTCTCCATAATGTCCAAAACCATAAAAGGATAACTCATATGAAAAAGAATTTATCAATAAATTTGATTTAATTGAATTATCATGATTTTGAATTGATTCATTTTCCTAAACAATCAAATATCGATATCGTATCGATTCACGATTCAAGTATATATAAACACAAATATTCATATGAATTCTTCCCAAATCAATAAATCAATTCCACTTTTTTCCAAACATAACCTATTAATCCTATATATATTCTATGTTTTACCATAGGAATAAATTTCATTCAATTTGTAAATAATACTATATTATATACACATCTGTATTTACAATTACAGATGTTATTGAATACAGATGTTATGAAATAAATTTTTATTCTAAAGAAATTTTTATTTTAATTGTTTCTTATGTTAAAAGGATAAAATAATTGAATATTTTGATTTCATTATTATTTTTGTTTCAAATAAAAAATTCCTATAATCCTTTAGTAACTTTCCCCTATGTTTCTTTAGTAACTTTCCCCTATATTTCTTTAGTAACTTTCCCCTGTATTTCTTTAGTAACTAGTAATATTCTTTAGTAACTTTCCTTTGTTTCTAAATAAATCTAAAAACAGTGATCCTTTGATAGCCTTGGACGACGTTTATATGATCTTTTCTTCTGTTATTGTTCGATGGAAAACTAATCAAATGAAGTGGTGTTTTCTCGGAAAAGAGGATGGAACGAATAATCGGAGTGTACGAAAAAAATGCATCGTCAAAAATGATCAAAAGATCTGATTATTTTGAAAGAAACAAATATAAAGTAAAATTGAAAAAAGAAAGAGAGAGATAAAAAAGAAGAATGGATAAACGTTACCTCGACACCTTCGTGTGCTGCGCCTTATAGGCGTTACATCAACTCCGTCTCCGGTGACCGGGTTGCGCATTAAGCAGGACGATCCACCTGCCAGGGTTCGAGCGGGTAGGAAGGCGTAGAGGATGACAGTTTCACAGCCGGTGCACGCAAAGCGACACGCGCCAGAATTTCATCATCACCACCATCACCACCACCCCCATGCACCGACACACAGGTAGCAAAACCCACATAACCGTCACCCAATCGTGTCTAAGTGTTAGTGCGCGCGACTATTCGCACGGATGAATGGAAGATATTCGTTTCTCGAAGGAATAATTTGCAAGATGGAAGGTAAAATAATTAGTTTTTTTTGATTTTCAAATATCTTGAATTTTTGGATTTGAAAATTTCTAAATTCTGAACCATTTAATTTCTGAATTTTTAAATTTTTTAAACTCTTTGTATTTTTGACTTTTTGAAATTTTATGATTGAGTATCTAAAGTGTCAATGTTTTGAAACTAGATATTAAAATACTATTGAAATAATGATGATAATATCTTGAATTGATCCGTGCGAAGAGGAACGAGTACGAAAATAAGAAAGAAACCAAAAGAATGTTATTAATACTACGTTTTATGTGAAATAAAGCAAGCAAAAGCAAAGAAACAAACAAATTACAAGGAAATTACAAGAAAAACAAAATACGGAGATTAAATAGAAAGAAAAATTACTGTTTTCAATCTTTTAATAAGTAAGAATGCCACACGTGTGAAATCCAAGCAATGAGTCGTGATGAAATTATACAAATAAAGTTCGTGAACGATCGATGAGCGATCGTAAAAAAAAAAAAAAAAATTAAAAAAAAAATATAATTCGAATTATTTCTTTGGCTATAGAACAATTTTTATGACAAGAATATTATAAAAAAGAAATCCATGCTTTTCAATCGATCGTTAAATAATTAAATAAATCGAATTGATTATATGTCGCAAGCGGAGCAAATGTTTATTAACTTAACGAGAAAAGAATTGAAAATGGCGCGACTAACTTAAAATATGTGTTTCTAGTTTCGTAGCAGGCTTTATAGTCGTTAAAAAATATTGATCGAGAAATCGATCAATGATATGTACCTTAAGAAACGTTTCCGAAATTTCTACGAGTTTCTACATCGAAAAGAAAAGAAAAAGGGAAGAATCAAAACCTAATGACGCTAAATAAAATTCTAAAAAGTAAAATTCTAGCCGATATACTCATCTTTATGCGAATTTGGAAACTTGATTTGCATTATTATTAATTATAATCGTTGCATTAAATGTTGAAATTCTCTTGATAACAATTTTTCTCTGAAATGTTAATGGAATATTACTAAATATAGAAAAAAACAATAATTTATTTATATTTTTTGCTTTTATTTCAAAATCTTTTTACGTATTTTTTTATAATTTTTCAATCTTTTAATAATATTAAAATATTAGAAACAAGAATATCGAATCATAATTCAGAATCAAAATTCGCGCGTATGCTTGCAACTCGATCGATAATGTAAATCAAGTTGAAGATAACATTTCCCGAAACGAAACGCGATTATCCGTAATTAAAAAAAAAAAAAATAACGTGTAAGAATAAGTGTCGTGTCATCTACTTGAATGTGTATTTTTTACACACTTACGAAATCGTTTGATTCTCCTAAAAGCTGCTTGCGAATAATTCAAGAGGATGACTTGATAAAAGCCATAGATTAGTCACAGAAAATAAGAAAAAAATAATAAACGTTCGTTAGTGTCTCGCTAGCTCCACAATAAAAAGATCAATAAAATTTTTCACTCTATATTCTTTTTCGTTGTGTTATTTGCAATAGAAGCAAAGAAAAGTTGTCCTAATTTGAAAACGAATCTTAGAAAAAAATCGATCAATCGACGTAGTGCATAATCTGAATAAGAGCCTGCGACACACAGACACATATTTCAAGGTAGCTCGAATACAGTGCGAGTTTATATATTGCAATTCGAGCGATTGCAAGAGCAGCGATAAAAAATCAATAAAACCAATTTGAAATTATCATTCAAGTGTCATCGAATACGCGCGAGTGATTTGTAAAAAAAAAAGAAAAAATAAATAAATTGTCATTGAAAAAAAGCTTCGATACCAACAGAGAATCGCGATCAAAAGGCGTGAAAAAACTTAAAAAAAAAAAAGAACTTTCATATCAAGCCGCTTGAAAAAGAAAAAAAAAGATTCGTTCCATTTTTACCATGTGTTGATAATCGCGTACGATTCAATTATCGTTCGTCCAAAATAAATTGATCGTGAGAGTTATCCCTATCATCCACCACTTGATTAAAACCAATCATATTATAACTTAACCTATTTCAATCGTTTCAAATTACAGATTCAATCCTATCACAATCAAGCCCAAGATTCTAAGATTTAAAAATCTCAAAAATAGATAATATATATTTTATAAAACGTTTCGTTTAAAGTAAATAAAATAAAATGATAAAATAAAATGTTTCATAAATGTCTCGAGTTGAAATAAGCCTCGACGTTCGAACGTTCAATTCATTTTGGACAAATGATCAATTTTACCGAGCGAAGATCTAATAATCGCCACTGTGTAATTAGCGAAGTATTCTAGTAGTGTGACTCGTAGCCGCGTTCCCTCGCGCTCGCACCGTACACCAGTTCACCTGACCAGATAGGCAGTATATCCTTTTTTTCGTGATACATAGATGGGGAAGGGGAGGAATGGGCGGTTGTTGGATGCGTTGAAAGGAAGGAGAATTTACACCCTTACCTGTGACATCGTTGGTCATATTGTTGCCATTGCTGGCCGCGTATCCGTTGAGAACGCCCGCGATCGAGTCCGAGCTTCCGGTGCTCTTCGCGGGCGACGTTGCGGCGCCTGATGACACCGACGAGGACATCGACTCCCCGCTGAGGGAGATATTGCTGCGCATGTGATTTTTCGCGTTTGGGGTGGTGGGTGGGGCATCGGGAGGGCCAAACAGGCGATTGTATGAATCATTACCGGGCTTGTTGCGCGGCGTTTCGTTGCTGTTGCTGTTGTTCGGTGTATCGCCGAACAAAGCGGAGCCCAGCTGCGATTGGTTGTGGTTCTTCACGCGGCGGGGGCTAGTCTCTTCGGGCGCCGCGCCGAAAATGTCGCTGCTTCCGCCACCAGGGGGTTTCAACACCCTGAAACAATGGAACAATGGAGGTATCGTTAGAGATTTATAAATGTAGTTTCGTGAGGCGATAATTTTCTTTTTTTTTTTTTATTGGTTCTTGGATTTTTTTATTGGATCCTTGGGATTTATTATCTATATTACCACTTTTTTCAAAACTTTCTTAGACAATCGAAAAATACGAAAGAAATTTGGGGGAAAAAAAGTAGCGTTCCAAAAAGTGTTTTGCCTTAAAAGAACTCGCATAAAATGAACAAAAAAGAACGGCCTTAAAACCTACAATTTTAATCTCGATCTCCGTACAGAGGATCTGGGTGAAGACGTCAAATTCTTTGACGACAAAGGGCAATCTCAACCCCTTTTTCCTCGATCCACGCCTCTTAAGTGCACGCGAAACTGCATCGTGTGTAATACACGGTGTACCGTGAGACCACTCCTTAGTCATAGCCCCGTCGAGTCAGCCACTTTCGATGCGAAAAGAAGGGTTGAGAACCATTGTTCTCGATCGGCGTTGGCGGCCGCCAACATGGGAACAGAACACGGCTCGGCCCCCACGACGGAAGGACTCGATCCAATTTGCTCGATAAATCTGCGCTGATTTCAACGTAACGAGGGTCTCGCGCTTGATGCGTGGCACGCGCTTTGTCGCGTGCTCGCTTCGTGGCCGAGCGGACAAAGTGGGAAAGGAAGGAGGGGGAGGAAAGAGAGAAGAGCAGTGACGAGAGATGAAGGGGAAGGGAGAGGGGGAAGGGGCCAGACTTCGTCAGAACAGGAGCAATTAAAAGTATGGGATCCATTCTCTTTTCTACGAACGATGGGGGAGCGATAGTTTTAAAAGCAGGCCTTCATTAGCAGAACGGTTCAATTAACGAGGGAATCGTTCGTGCGTGACGATTTTTTTTTATTCTAATTTCTTTTTTTTTTTTTTTCAATAGAGATAGACAGAGATAATCGCTTTCGAAAGCTGACAGTTGGGGCAAAGAACTATTGGAACACGTTTCCAATGACGAATCTTGGATCGATTCAGGCAGGACGAAGAATAATCCTTGTTGATCGATACGACAGCACGATGTTATTTACGTCATCATTTCGTACTATGATTTTTGTTGCGAACTATTGTGCTATCCTAAATGACGATAGATGAATTATTTTCATACGAATGTTAATACTTATCATTGAAAATCATTGAAAATAGAAACTCGATACGATATAGTTTCGCTTAAAACAAAGACTGTTATATCCTGTTACATGATGTATGAATATATAACTATCCAACCAATTGATCGGCTCGAAGTGGAATATAACACACAATATCCAATAATAATCCATTTATAATTAAACCTCCCAATTTCTTCATCTCAATTCCTCGTTCTCCTATAATCTTCCGGCTCGACTCGACTGTGATATAATTTATAAATTCGAGGACGCCACTCCTAAGTCGTCCACCCCCATCTTTATCATGTTTACGCTCCCCAATCCCTCCTCACTCGTGTAGTAGATTTTCTAATTACGTTCAATTAACGTTCCTCTCGAACACGCATTCGTTCTATCGGCCGTGTATCGATACGCAAAAACTCGTTAAACTTCGATCGATTGTAATCGTTCCACTCTAATTAAGGGCGCAACACCAAAAGCATCTCTCTCTATCTCGCTACCTTCGTCAAACGGCCGTATCATAGCGAGTGTTTCATCGACTTGGCGATAAATCAACGCTTCCTCGTTACACTGTCTCGGATAATTGAACGACGCTGTTTGATGGAAATGCATGTTCTTCTCTCTCTCTCTCTCTCTCTTCGCTTATTCGCCGTACAACACACGCTATGGTTCACGTTTATGGCCCGTTTAACGCTCGAAATTCGGGGGGGGGGGGGCGTGGGTGTCGTCCAATTTTTATTAAAACGATTCGATAAAACAGAAATTACTTCTAATTAATCATCGTTTTTAACTTTTTCCATAATTCGATTCCTACGAGGAGTTTTAATTTGGCTGTATAGTCAAGTATTTTTGTAAAGGAAGAATTATAAAAGTTTTAAACAGAGATTGTAATCCAAAAGTTCACGTTCACACTTTTACGAATAATACATCTATGATCCAATATCAACATAATATCATCGAATTATATCACTTCTTTACAGATCGACACTAAATATTCCATCTAAACAGAACGCAACAAGTATATAAGCGATAATTAATCTCATAATGAAGTCTCCAATAGTTGTTAAATTAACCCACACGGAATCGGAAACCGGTATTCTCTCTACCTCTCTGTCTAACACGAATAAGAAGCATAGAGAGAACAAAATTTATCGTCCCCTTTCCATTTCTTCCTGAATCGTATCGAGGAGAGGAAAAAGGAAAGAGTAAAAAAGAAAAAGAAGGCAAAGATCCACGTGCCGGGGGGACGTGGACGATTGATGATCCCCCTTCGATGATGTCGCCGCGTCCGGTCTTTGGAAGCGTCCGAGATACGCCATTTTCTCTCTCGAGAGAGAGAGAAAGAGCCCACACGTCCGCAACGAAACCGTGGAGAGACGGGAGAGCAAATAATAACGAGGATAATCAATCGGCCGTAGGAAGGAAAGGAATCCTCTGGGGGGGGAGGGACAGGATGGGCGCGGCGGGAAATACGTTGGACGAACGTACGCCTCTGCCCTCTTCTTTTCGTCGCAGATATCGTCGGATCCTCTCTCTCTCTGTCCGTTCAACGAGTCAACCTGTTTTACGCGCATGCATTTTCATCCACGATGATCGGGAAACTGGCGGTTTTAAACGAAGACGAAGACGCATTCGATCGGTTTTAAATCGGTTAATGACGTTTAATCTTACCTGTGCCGCGTTTAACAGGCTAGATTGGAGATTAGATTTCTTTTTTTTTTGGATCTTTGGACGATTCGCAAAGACGGATGATGGTGTAATGAGATTATCGATAGGGGTGAAAATTGTTTGTTTGGAAAGGAGTGGAGAGACGTATTTTTAAATACGATGAATTTTGAAGATATTTGGTATAAATTTCGTATTTAGAAGAGTGGATCGAAGAGAAATGCATCTTGAATTCGTGGATCGAAATGGATTTGGATTTATCGAAAAATTTTCGATGTATAAAATTAATTTATATCCGAATGCTTCTCATCCCGATAAATCTAGTATGGTCTAGTTTAAATGTCCTGGTAATTGTTTACTTCGTGTTGCATCACGTTGCATGTCATCGAGTCCAATTTAAGGATTGACATGTTGAATTGAAGCGTTTAATATATCAATGATTAGGGTAACGTCGAAACTATTTTAACCTTTGGACGAAAGGGATCTACGCTATTACTTTTCAATATTACAAGATATTACATCCTCGATATTACAAGAAAATTACATCCAGAAAAGAAAAATATTAGGAATTAAGATATAAATATTCTCTTGCCAATTTCTCCTTCGTGTCGTATATATATATATATATATCATGAATGAAGAAATTCAGTGTAATGTATCGATGATTACGCGTCCTATATAATAAAGTTTCGAAAATTTAATTTAAAATTCTTTTTTTTTTTTTCCCTCAGAGACTTTCTCGCGAAGAAAAGATGTTGAACGTTGGGGCGCTTCCGGTACCACGTTAGTTCCCCCCGTTGAGAGGATTTTATACCGTGTGGGTTGCCGCTGACCCCAACGGGTTGCTGAACCCTGCGCACGCGTTGCCCATCGTGCAAATTCCTATCGTACGGAATCCCATCAGGAGAGCAACTTTTATCTACGCAGTATCAATAAATACTAATTTAATAGTAATAAAAATCGATGATTTGTCGTCGCTGCGAGTAATCATGACGGGAAGTTTCACCGCAATTCACGAAACGAGATATTGAGGATAAGTGGTTTTCTCAAGTGATTGACCAACATTTTAGAAACTGAGATTTCTGAATCTCGCGTTTTATTTTTTTTTTTTTCTTTCTGTTTCTCTTTTGAATAATTTTTCTTTCGATCACTTTTTAAATTACATTCTTCAAATTTACATCGATCGCATCGATCGTTTTGTTAAAAATCTATATATACGGGAGAAAATATGTAGAAGGATAATATTATTGAAGATTTATGACACGAATATGACACTTCTTTCTTCCCAGTGAAGAAGTCGTTCGATTTCTAAGAGGTTCATCCAATTCCAACCGTGAAATTTCTTTTCGACGCATTAAAAGCCGAGTGATGGACACAGAAATTCCTGAAGAAACCGCGTGAAAAGTGGACCAGGACGCTTTCGAAAATAATAATCATCTGTTACAATGACTCGACATGCTCGTGATGCGAACTATGCTAATGCTCGTTGGTGAACGTCATTAAAGAGGAAATACGATCCACTCTCTTCAAAAGTTTTCTTTTTTTTCTTTTTTTTTTTTTTTTTTTCGTGTAACGTAGTGGCATAATCAGGTTGCCGGATTTTTCCACCACAGATCCGGAATAATAAATCATTGGGCAACGATCTCCCGCTGATAATTTTCTTAATTAGAATAAAACTAGAGTGTGTCTGCTAGAAATTTCAGCAAAGTTATTAATAACACTTTGCACTGCGTAATTTTTGTTTTGTCCCGAGAAAATTAAAACGATTGACCAAAGATGATCTCATGGTGCAAAGGGTTAAATATAGAGAATTGTATATCTCCGTTTTCCTCGATGTGAGGAAAATAATATAAAAAAGGATTTTCCAACAAATCGATTCAACTATCGAAAAAACATTGACGTTCGCTCTCCCACAGATCCAATATTTTCGTTTCATCATCCTCGAAAGTTGCACGATCGATCACGTTCTCTCGGTGATCGTGGGACAAAATGGGACAAAACTAATCGAAGGAATGAATCCTTGATAGTCGTTAAAAGGGATCGTCCATCATCCCGCTGAACGTCTCACGTACGACGTAATCAGAGGAATCTAGAAAATGGGACGCAAGGGCCATCATCTACTCCGCGAGTCGTAAACTCGGATGAACGGAATTAAAGCTCGCGAGAATGTGTGTAATATTCGACGTGAAT